GATTTTGTTGGCCCAGGACAGGGTCCGGTGGAGGGCTTTGGTTAATTCGGTGATGAACCTTCGGGTTCGGTAAGCCATCTAGTTAGTTAGTTATATATATATATATATATAGTATTTAAATAAATATGGTATTTTCTCTGCTTTCATGTCTTACCTCTGACGTTTGAAGAGGTATCCACTGCACCTCCTTTCTCTTCATCTAGAACATCCACTGAACTTCTTCTCAATCTGCTACTTTCAAAATATCTGCTGGTGCTTTCAAAGTGATTCCCATCATTTTGTTGAAATGCTGGACTATGTGCTGGGCTTGGTGAATGTTTAAAGGTCAGTGGACTATGAGCTGGACTTGGTGAGGATTTGTAAGCACTTGAACTATTCAACAATGGACTTGAACTGGTTTTGAATCCTGTTGGGCTCTGGGATGGACTTGAAGGCAATCTGAAAGTTGGGCTGACATTTGGTTTGTAAATTGGACTAAAACGATTACTGTGAACAGGACTGTCACGGTACAGTGGACTGTTAACTGGACTTGGAGAACTGTTGCTCATGATAGGACTAGGCCCACGACCATTGGTAAGACCACAGGACGGGGAGCCAATTCGATCTTCTGTGATGTTCATGTGGTTTAGGCGCTGGTCTATAGATGAGTGACTCCTTTCTGTAAGAAATCAAACAAAGGTTTCAAGCAATATTCTTGTTACCAACAACAATGAACATGCAAATTCAACTTTCTTGTTGCACAGAGTTCTAGTCATACAAATCTTGTGTAATTAATGTTAAATTTAGATATTTCAAGTTTCTAATCCAATAATAGAATGTAATTTAGTGTATGGGTCAGCATGCTGGGCTCATGTATACATGACTGAATTCCACTCTGGTCACATTTTTTAATATTACTTGTAACTGTAAATATGTTACAGAAATTTTTGTTGTTATTGTGTTGTGGTTGTCGTCATCATCGTAGTTGGGAACAATTTCTTACTTTATTAAATTTGTTGGATACAATCTCAGAGTTTCATATCATCACCATGATTTTAACTGAAGACAGTCTCATAACTTGGTTCAAAGAATCTTAAAAAATAAACTTCAAGTCCAAATCTTTCAAGATATTAATTACATTTTTTTCTAAAATATTATATTAAAATTTATTTCAATTGATTATTAGTAATGTGAAAAGCAGCCGTGAAAACATGCACAGATTAAGTAGTTACTATTTGCAACATATAGGCAATTTGCTTTGTAGGCAATCAGAGCCATGTAAAACTAACCTTCAGTAAAATAGTTATTAATATTTGGACGAACAGTTGGTGTGGGTGGTGTGACCTTGACATGCGGTGCTGGAGAACTAATCTGTGGGGAATGACTGTTCTCCCGTCCATCTGAAACATGACAGAATTTAAAATACTGACTTATCAGGTACTGTCATTCTGAGCTATAAGAATCTCCACAGTACAACAAAAAATTACACATTTAATATTTGGACCCTAATATTTTATTGGAACTTCTTCCATTAAAAGAGACAAAAGGACAGTACTGACTGTGGCATAAAATCAGGAAAGTTTTTTAAGGTACCTGTTTATTAACCTTAAAGATAAAAGTTATATGATGTATTTTACCTCATGTATGCAGCTCAGCAAGTCAAAGTGGTGTTACTGGTGAATGTATGTAGAATATTAACAACTCAAGTAGAATGCATTAAATTACTGCTATGTGACATAACTTTGCTTAGTGTTCTTTATATTGTTTATGTAAATATTTACCCACAGTTGTTAACAGGCTTTGTAGCAAACACATATAAATTGGCACTATCCTTAGAGTTAGAAAGTGTTTATTAGCATACCTGATACAACATGAAGTGTTACTCCAGGCATTCTTCTCTTCCAGTATGAGTCTTCTGAAGCCATTTGATGCCTTGAGTGAGACCCAAAACTGGATGTGTACTGAGTTCCAGCTAACCAGGTTATAAAGGTTATTATAGTTAATATGAGGTGTGACCAAATTAGTAAAATCTATAAAAGATGGAAGGTTAGCAAGAACTTTAGTTTTGTACAAAGATATAAAGATTGTTATATTCACTGAATTCCTACCATTTATGCTATAATTAGTTTGGTTATATGTCAGAATGTAAGCAAAAACAAAGACATAAAACTACAATCTACAATACAATTGAAGTTTTAGTGCCTATATACATATGACAATATTACAGTGATGTCAGATTATTACTAATGAGCTCAAACAAAATGAGAGCAAGTTATAACAAAGATGACACAGTTTTTCATGTTCTTGTATAATTTCTAACTAGTATCAGAATCTCTGTCCCTGGAGGTAAACAAACATGAAGCTGATAACTCAATTCCATTTATTTGTAGAGACTATGAAGGTATATGCTGTTGCCTTCTTGCCCCTATACCCTGTAATGTATGGTGCTTAGATTAGGGGTAATTATGTTATCATACCATCTCTAAAACACAAGTCTGAAACACCATAGTGAATTTAGTGGAAATGTTTTTGGAATTTCATATTTAATTTTTGCCATAGAAATATGTGTATTGATGTATAAAATAGCAAATTAATGTACAGGAAAGAAAAAAATACTAGCCAGTACATCAGATTAAATTGTTTCATAATTTTTTTCAGTTATTAGGTGAAGTGTTTTATTTAGTAGTATTTTTGGTTGTAATTAATTTTACCACCTTATCTTAATCATCAAAAGGGGAAATACAGCTCTTCAGATTCCTTTCATTATATATTAATATCTCCACTTTAGATTATGTAAAAAATAGACCTTAATGTTATTAAAGCATGCAGTTCTAGGAACATTTGTATCATTAAAGAAATATTATGCACAGCTTGTTGAATTTTATTTCTGATATTACTGTAAGTATGAAAATCTATTGTTAAATTTATGCTGAGATGGTTTACTGCTTAACCTTTAGCAGCTGGGCAACACAGCTTCAGTGTGTTCTAGATGGCCATATACCACAGTAGCATATGTCTAAACCATTATTCTCGAGCTGAAGTCCAGCTGGAAGCTCCACAGTTCAGTGGTTTAAATCCCCTACTCCAATATGATAGTGGTGAAAGAAAATTATGAATTCTTTATTTGAAATAAGCTGCTTCATTTACAAATTTAGACAATTATAACCTCTAAAACATGAAGAAAACCTTTTATGAACAGACAATCACCACTATCACACCAACATAACAGTGAACAATGAATTGAAGGACAATGACACCATGCTAAAAATCTACAAGAAGACAGGCACAATCTGCAATCTCTCCCATAATGCTTTTTCTCTGTCTACTCCTGTCCTAATTAAGCACTGTTACAGTATGTTTGATTTTAAATATATAGTGACTTTGAAGCATAATCTATTCTAATCAGTATTATACTGATTTTGTAGCTAGTGTACCTTTGCTGTGATCTTGATTCCGAGATTCCTTATGGTGATTACTACTGGTCCGTCTGTTGGTTGGAGAATCTGATTTGTCCCTCGAACGCTGACTTCCCACACGGAGAGGAAATGGGGATCCTGACAAAAAGTTTCATTCTTAGTATATTTATATTTACTACTTATATGTCAGCATTTGCCTGCAGAAACAAAACAAAAAAGTCTGTATTTTCAATTCTTAAAAATTACACATATTCCTAAGCCTGCACTCCAATCCATGATGCCTATGTACAAGACAAACAATACCTTAGCTAAGTAACTACAATTAAAACATAATTTTCATTTACTGATTTTCAATGAAGTGTATTTTTACATGCAGTTCATACATTATTATATTATTACATTTTTAACTTTCTCAAAATACAGATTTAATTTTATTGACCTTTAACATCACCACCATTGAAATAAACATAGACTCTGTGTTTTCCAGCTTGCTGTGGTACAAGTGATACTCTGTACAGAGATCCTCCAAGAGACTCCATTCGGTGTGGAACAGAACATCCACCTGATACAATGTCTACGCACACATCCCCCAAACCACCTGTACCAGAGGCATCAACAGTGAAGCTAAAGGGCTGTCCTGGTGTGGCCCCCTCCATGCCTCTCAGCTGCAATGGCAAGACAAACTTATAATTAATATGGTTATTGAAGGGTGAATAGGAGGATAACGATATAAAAAAATACCACCTACGACTGCACATATTATGTAAGATTTAAGGTTTTCACAGCGGTGAGTATGAAGATTTTTGTCTTCTGGGTTGTTACGCTGTGTAATCTGGTCGATGTTAACCAACGTTTCAGAGGTCATACTGCCTCCATCATCAGGGTGATGAATATTATTTGAATGGATCAGTGTTTCTGTTCTCTGAAATCTCATTCTATATACTCAACCACAAATGCACATTTGGTAATTTCTTCATACATAGTGTTAGTGTTAGTGTTCATCATGATTTCTGTGTATGTAAGGTTTCAAATTCACGTGTATCTACAAATGTCATTTTTACTCTCTCTACACTGATACCAGCATCATCTATTTCTATCAAGTAAGTGATATGTCTCATACAGATATCAATTCTTTGGGTAGTCCGGTGTAACTTAATAAAAAGAAATATATAACTTGATCATGTATTTTGACTGCAGCAACAGCCCTTATACTTTTGCTGAAGGGCTACAAAATTCAGGAATTCAGAATTCATAAAAGATACTAAAAAGTGATCACTCATGGCAAAAGATGTTATATTTTATGATAGCTGTTAGATTAAAATGAGACACAATGACAGTAAAGAGGACCATGCTATGTCACTGTTGGCACCATGTTACTACAGCCATTTAGCCACATATTTAGCTGGATGTTAATCAGACCAAATTGCAGTTTTCATGCAGTCATTGAACAAGTTCGAAACCAACTGTCACATTAACACATTTGACTTACCTTAATAGCATTGGGATCATATACAAAACATGTAAAAGGGCCTCCTTGGATATGTTCCCCACCATGTGTTACCGCAATGGACCACTCTCCTGCTTCATCAGGCTGGAATGTGGCAGTGTATACACCATCAGTCTCTTGCACAGGGCATGGCAGTCTGCGACCAGTTGGTGAACGTGCTAACACATCAATCTCTCTACTGCTGGCTCCATTTGAGTTAATCTAGAAGAATAAAAATACTCTTAATAAATAATTACATTAAAAATGTACTTTTCATTATATAAATAAAAAATTCTCACCACATGATTGAATAAATTACTCCTTGTGCCTGGAATGTAATTTTATACACAGAAATATTGTAAAAGTGCTAGTATTTAATCCAGGTGTTTCTCAAAATAAAATATACTGAAATAATATAAAACTGCTTATTTATCAAGAAAGTCTCATAAATATGTGTGCCCATCAATCAGTTTTCTATTATTTACTGTTGTAGTGTTACACAATGATTACATTATAAAATAAACAGCTACCAAGAACCAATTTTGATTGCCTAGCAACTATATCAGAGACAAGGTGGAAGGAACTGACAACACTTTATAAAGTGATTTTGTGTTTTATGTGTTTTTAAAAAGTATTGTGCTTTCAGCTTGTCTCAAGTTTCACGTTCCATTGCAAGCTGGTTGGAGTATTGATAATAGTAGTTTATACTTACTAGTACTTCTACAATAGAGCCAATGGCACAAGGATCCATTCCAGGAAATGAAATCTTTGTCGGCTCTGGAGTCACTCTAATGTTTATTGGACAACCTTGGGCATGTTCACCTTCATTGTACACTATAAGCTGAAATAAAAAAAAATTACATTCTTTTTGTATAGTTATATGTGCACATTACCACCTATTCTTATCATTTTATTACTGATGATATAATCCAGAATATCACCATATCCCATATGTATGATGTCAGCAACACTTACGGAATTGATTAATATTATGCTACAACAAGATAATCTTATTTCATTTTTGCATTATGTTTTGAGCTTGTGTAGTTATTATTCATTTAAAACATGCAAGTTTATGGATAGCTGTGTTATAAAATGCCATTTTCAGCAGAATTTTATTTTGTTTATATAATAGTTCACCAAGTGTTATTTGATGCTAAATAAAAACTCAGTAGATTCATTGTTGTAAAATTGCATGTTATACATCCAACAAGTAAAAATTTTATCTCATGATGGCCTATTAGTTTTCTTTTAAATATACAGTATGCTTGGAAACAAATAATACCACACAGCAGAAACAAAGAACTGCACATTGATATAGATGAGGGTGGTTCACTTTTTAATACAACCAAGTCATTTGCACCAAAGGCAAAGACACACATTAATCCAGACAAGAGCTCTTCATCATGATTATCAAAGAATTTAAAAACAGAAAGGATTAAAATTGAGATTTGAAGTTTGACAGCACTGAATATCTAGATTGTGGTCTTCTGCACTGAAGATGGAGGCAAAATATTCCTCCAAAATGTTGGTAACTGCCTCCAAGACTACATGGCATTACAACCCAAGAGACTACAATCAACAGGACTGAAATCAAATTTAAGGAAACAGCTTGTGATGTGAACTGGAGAGTATAGATGCAGTAAAAACTCTTTGCATTCCTCAGTATCAAGTTATCATATTATTATTCTCCTACCTTGTGCATTCCAATTTCAGTAGGAATGAAGGATCCTCTTCCATTATTACTGCTCAACTGGAGGCGACATTCCACTTTTCCAGATGGTCCTATGACTTCTGCCATCACCTCCTTGGTGTCCACATCACCAGGTAAGTACTCCAATTTAAAATGAACCTGTGTGGACAAGTTAATGCATTCAAAAAAAATTCTCTCAAAAAATGCTTTATATACCTGAGAATGTGAAGAACTGATACTACTGTATTTTTTATTCTTTTGTATCTCCTACATATACGTGATTTTTGTCATATATCATAGATTATTAAGACTTAGAAACTTCAAGATGTCTGTCTTCTGGGATGATGAGCCATATAGTTTGGTAAATATTACCTGATGTTTCAGAAGAGTTTACTGCCTTCTTCATCTCTATATCTAGTGGATTATAAGTATAACACCAGAAAACAGCCATCTTTATACTCGTCACTGTGACAACATTAAATTTCACTTAGAAACTTACTGGCTTGTTGACTTTTGCAGTGTGAGAGTCACAGGATACAGTTAACCTATCACCAGGTTTCTGGCGTGGTTGAATCCATTGGAAGTTGGCTGCATATGCCATAACGCCCAAGTGTTCTACATTCTTATCAGCCATGTCTTTAGCCTTCAGAATAGGCTCTATACCCAGTTTTTCACCTCCACGGATGCCTATTAACATGAACAATAATAAAGTATGTTAATAACATGTTAGGTTACTTATTACTTACATGACAGGATAATATTAAGATGTGTCTTAAGGAAGAAGTGTGTGGGAATATGGACTGCAAACATCTGGCTCAGGGTAGGGAATAGTGGTGGATCCTTTTAAACATGACAATGAATATTTGGGGGCAATAAAAGCAAGGAATTTTTTGACTAGAGTATCAATTGTTATCTTTGCAAGAAGTACTCTGCTGCATAGTGTTAGTGTTACCAGTTGTTTAAATTATTGGATAGTGTTCTACTTAAAGTGACACTGGGCATTTAAGTTGCTTGAAGATGACCAGCCAACTGCTTTGTGACATGCAGTAGCATATATTCTAGTCCAAAGATTTGTGACTCTGATATATAAATTTGGGATATATGCTGTTCAAAGAAAATTTTATTAAATTAAATTAATAAAGGAATAAGTATACACAGTGCAGGGTTATTACATTTTGGATGACAGAGGTTCTGTAGTTTTAAATGAGAAACTGTAATATAACTACAAATGTTGAGCTGGAAGAAACATGAAACTAGTCATTGTGGTCCACTTTAAGCTATAGAAACTTGCACAGTGGTGCTGATGATACAAAAAACAGATACAATAGTTAATGTCCCATGTCAGATTCAAATCTGGTGCAACCGAAGCAGGAGACAAATGATCTACCACTGAGTCAAAACTTAGGATTTTGTGCTCAAAATCACTTTTTTAGTAATATGTTATGAGAATTTTTTTAAAATTGAAAACAAGGAAAGATAAAAAAAGATCTACCAGAATGATTCTGCTTTTTGTAACCTGCATGAAAGGAGCACTAAAAATTTCTCCTAAGTAATTTTTAATTATTAAAACTACTAACTAACCCAAAAACGTAAGTACCTTTGTTCAGATTCATCTCCCAACTGGAGCGGTCAGTGGTTAGCTGGTCATAGCCTGGTGTGGGTCCTCCCAAAGAGCGCACTAGTTTACATAATACAGTTCCATCATTCCAGTCTCTCTGAAAGTAATTACATCAAGTGAATTCACTATCAGTTTTTAATATTAATTTATTTTATGATGAACCATTTCAATTGAAATTACTTTTCTTTACTAGTTGAGTGACTAACTTTAACAGAAGGGCTCTGCTCCATGTAATTTTCTAGTTAGGTCAACTCACTTTAGATTTATAATATGATATTAAATGGATCTTTAAATAATTAATTAAACTTATGTGGACAGATAAAGCTTTATCAAGAAAGCATACAACTGCAGGTTTTAGTTTTTGCCTCTAAAAGTTTTATATTAACCATATTTACAAGAAGTATCTTCATATGTGTAACATATAGAGAAAATTGTGTCCTTGATATAATTGATAAAATTCTATTTAAATGTTCTGGCCAAGCTATCAGAACACAGAAAACTTCTTGAAGGCCTGAACAAGCATTTTTAACTATAGTTTTCATTACAAGTGACTGCTTACTGTGAAATTTCTGACATGAGTGTCAGGTATTTGATTATTGACCCAACGAAGAGTTGCATGAAATCCTGGGCTATCTTCTTTCATAAAATATGACAAATATGTCATTCCAGAAAGTTCATCCAGGAATGGAGAAGCCAAATATTCTGGCTGCAAGACCATTGGGATCTGGAATTCTCTTCTGGCAATTTCCATAGCTGTGCGACAGTTTCCAACACTGGAACAAGAAAGAATATTATTATGTAAGTATTTGTTGTAATGCCCTTCAATGGCTGGAAATGTAAGTGATCTGAGCAATTTACATCATACATTTTTACTTTATTTAATCCCAGCTTAGGAAAAATAAATACTCCATGCTGTTAAGCTGACACTAGAATGGTAAGAGCAAGTGTTGGTAAAGACTACAGAGGAAACAGGTGGCTGAATGGTGAATAAACCATACCTTCTTCCAACGTTTCGAGAACAATCTCTGCTCTCATCCTCAGGGCTGCTGTGTAACAAATCTGATCCTTTGTTGCGTGCTCACAGAAGGATCAGATTTGTTACACAGCAGCCATGAGGATGAGAGCAGAGATCATTCTCGAAACGCTGGTAGATGATATGGTTTATTAACCATTCAGCCACCTGACACGGCTTGTAACCCGAAAGTCTTTCATCAAATAAAAACAGCATGTTGTAGTTATGAAAGCTTTACAATGTGTTGCTGTGATCTGGGACAAAATAGGGAAGTGAATTTTTAAAATTTTCACATAAATACTTTATTTAAGTAATGTTACATGATGTAAAATATTTTGTAATACAAAATCTGCTTGATTCTTATAGAATCACAGCTGAAAGAAAGATTACAATCTTTTCAGTACTAAACTAAGCATTCTTTTCAATTAAGCCTTGAATGGAAACGTAGGCTTGGCTGTGAAATCATCCGCACAGAATATTGTCTACACTATCAGTGAGATAATAGGCTAGAAAATGTAGGGCTTTCAGCGTAGTTTTATTGTAAACATACTTAATTATTATTAAAGGATGATAAAACCAACAGGATCACATCAAGCTTTATTTATACCCAACTAAATGTTTAAGTAAACAAAATTGTTCCTCACCTGTCCTTGGGATTTAGACTTCTCCAGTGAGGAAAGAGTCCAGGATGACAATAATCCAACAGAGCACTTAAGTAGACTCCAGAGTTCCAGTCTGTTGTGAAATTGTTCACACGACATTCTGGGAGTACAGCCTGTTAACAAATCAGCTACACTTACTTTTGTATTACCTAAGTATATGAAATATTTTTTTTATTGTTTAATTTTTTAATTATGTGATAAATGGTCACATTTTTGCAATATTTTCTCTTGAATCAATAGACACATTTAAGTATTTCAACGTGCATTATTTTCCTGTTTTACTTTTTTAAAGATTCACATGGTGCCTATAGGCTACCGTGAACCCTAACATAATGAAAGCCTAAAAAATATAATCCATATATAATATTTCTAACATTGCCGTTTGTATTGCAGATAAACTGACAAGGATGAGATATTATTGCACATAATAAGAAAATCTTCATTTCGTGGTTTCTAAGTGTTTAGTGTATCTCATAATATGAGTGGAAACAATAACTTATTTTATGTCTTAGAAACGAATAATTGTTTGTTTGTAACTGCACATACCTTTAGCCATGCCAGCATAAGTTTCTTTGGTGGAAACTTTGACCTTCCGATTTGGTAACGGACAATTAATGACCATATTAAGCCCAGGATCAACTTGAGATTTCCATTTACAATATCAACATTACCTGAAAGAAATACAAATAAATTTCTTTCATAACAGATGTCTGTTCACCGAATTGTATTAAATAATCAGTACGGTGTGTTTTTTGTATCGACAATGTAACGTCAAATATAACTTAACATGTTATGTTCTAAAATCTTATATTATTTTCATTAAACAGGAATCATCCGTTTTTCAGACATCTTCAGAGGTTCGTGTTATTCTTTTACGTATGTATCATGTGGGATGAAAAGCAAATCCACTATTTTAGAACATCATATACTTCGTTGCATTTGACAATAAACAGATAGACAAACCAAATGCCAAAAATATAAAAGGACAGAAAATATAAAGTTTAAAAATCAGTAATGTGACTGAGTCAGGCTAGTCAGCTGCAATTTACTGCTTGCGGCGTCCTAGAGTATATTTTACTTATACTTTAAGGAAGATCATTATAGTCCCAAACAGCTGTCCACCTGATCACCTTGTTTAATTCACACGTTAAAAACCCAAAGTAATATCTAAGAAAGGCTATTCCCCCTAGAACTACAGACGCTTAATTGCTTTGTCAATTGAAGCAAATATTTTAACACACTCGTACGTAATCATTTTTATACGATTTTCAATAAGTTAGTTCATGCTTTACGTTAGCGGCTGAGAATACTACTGAGGAGAATGCCTGAACCTAAGGCAGATAAGCTTCATTTATAACTGTAATTTCATAAAGTATTATTTAGGCGATCAAACCTGGGAGTTATTTTAGGGCTGGGCATGCACCTCTCATGAGGAGATGATTACTGCATTAATAAATTTAATCGGAAATTCTGGAAGGGAGACCTAGGCATCAGTGAAAATATTATATGAAAATGTATCGTAAATAAATACTTTCCATGAACATCTGAACGACTACCAGCTTCTCAAGTAAAACTTTGTTTCATTAAGCACAAAGAATTACATGACTTGAACTTAAATGAATTCTGCATGTGTGAGTATCGAGGACTCGCGTACATCTAAAGTGAAGAAAACAAAAGGGATTGTGTGCCCTATTTTTACAGTATTTCTGGAAGCACTTGTCATCTCAACTTACATTATAACACACTTGATTGCTGATGTATCATAAAATACTTAGGGTCCTATAAACAATGTTTATTTCTCTTAGACATTCTTTCTACATAATTGTTATTATTACCACAGTTTGCGCTCTGAATCGAGTAGATGTCTCAGGATATCTCGATATTATTTTCGTTTTCGGAATACAATACATTTGCTCAATTTAAAGCCCTCGTGAAAGGGTAAATGGACAAAACTCAATATTAGGCATAATGCTTGTAAACCACTACAATCTAAACAGTTCCTACGTGCCAGAAAGAAAATAGCTGAATGCTCTGAGCCTATTATAAACACTGGTAAAATGTGTATAAAAGTACACATGTAAAAACATGTATTCCTATAATAGTGGTATGATATCTGGTGTACACTAAAGTCTCATTAACTCAGGCTTGAATTTTTCTACATATTTTTACACCATTTGCAATATTTAATGAAACTTGGCTTGCTGATATAGTTACTTCAAACAAGAATCTATACGATCAGTAACTCCTGTTGTGGATCTATGTTGTCCTTATTGATTGTAAGAGCGGTGAATGCAGTACAGCCACCGGTTTGACCTCAGAAACTTGTAGTCTCCAGAAAAACCCGGTTCACCTCAGCAGTGCAGTTGGCTGTACATTAACGTAGTGGAAATTCATATTTTAAACTTCTTCCGCAAATGTACCGTACGGCAGTTTGAAGAAGTTCATATATTTTAATTAACTCTATGCTAGATGAAGAAGATAACCTACTTGCTAAAATCATTAATTCTTACTGAAGTGCTCTATCAGATTCTAAATTGCATATGGCATCAGTATGTTCTGCAGAACAATGTTAAAATTCTGATTTGAACAAGGGCGATTAGGGTCCGATTCCTCCTTGTACTTAACAAGTTTCTAAGTATAAGTTTATAAGTTTAAGGGCCTACAGGGGCTCTCAGGTATCATGGCAAATGTTACCCACGGTGGGGGTGGGCAGAATGATTCTGCTACTCCACTGCCTCGTGTAAATGTTGTTTTTATCCATTTTCCTTAATTATATATGCGCCTGTGTGTGATGGAAGTAGTGAGTAACAACAAAAATAATATATAGCTGTAATAACGGATATAACGAGTAACGGTTGTAACGAGCAATTCTCCTGAGTCCCTTCGATCTCGTTATAACCGAGTTTGACTGTATTTCACTAACACTTCCCATGCAATATGAAATCATCGCTTCTCTTCAGGCTTTCCTACTAAAGTTCCGTATGCATTGCTCATTTTGCCATGTGCGCTGCATGCCTCATCCTTCTCATCTACCTAATATTATTTTTGAGGGGTACAAAAGAAGCACCCATCACGAAGACTAACAATGAAGACGTGCGTCTAGCAAATATCACGAAGCTGTCGCTGTGATGTGCTTTAGGAGTACAAATTCACCATTACGTAGGTACAGTAACAAATGGCCGTTTATTTTGCATGACTCATTGTTCTCCAGCAGCACAACAGGAAGTGAGACTACAGCGACCTAAGAATTGTAAAAGAGGTGGGGGTGTTCACCCGCTTGAAGATGGCATTGTTCTCAGAGCAGTGTCTCATTCAAGAATATATGCAACACTAACAGAGATGAGAGGTCGGCATCGCGCTTTCGCCGTTTTACTCCCCGCGAAAAGGCGCCTCGTACCCACTGGATAGCGACGTGGGTGGCCCCCAAAATAGATCTGGACGTGATAACCACTAAAAAATATTATCCGTACCGGGAATCGGATGTGTTGTCCAGCCCATAGACCGACAATTCACTGATTGGGCTATGCCCTGCTCATTTTCATTTTAACAAGTTCATTGTTGAAAGGTATAATTTGATTCTAGTCGTGTCGGATCTGCATAACGTCCTGTAGTATGTATGGTACGATCATTGATCGAAACTTATTCGGGTCTATACTTCAAAATCGAGTCTGGTCCTACCGTGGGTAGAGACAAGAGACTAATTTGGACTACAGCTAACAATCCAGAACCAGAAATTCTATCTCAAGGTTAAGGCAGTAAACAAAACACTGCATAAACCAACTGACCAAGTGCCAAGGTTCTATGAGATCGATTAGCAAATCAACTCATTGCATGGCAGATAAGTGGGCAGACAAAGTGGGATCCTCCCTTCCTTTCCTGCCTGCATGAACTGTATTACCAGTGGATAGCACTTTCTTACGTCGCCTTTGATCTTCCGTATGTATAGGTAGGATCCTGCAACCATAACCAAATTTAGACAGACTAGAAGCCAGTGAAGCAAGGCTCGTACGTGGAAAAAGGTGTTACATATACACAACACAATATTTCAAGAGAGTTAGACGGAGAAAATTAGCTGAGAAGACCCAATGCGATTTTATAATGAAGTTCTTCTTGAAAACCTGATAGTCGTTTAGCTGGACAAGAAATATCCAACAAAATGGAATCCGATTGTTTATTACCGTGTTCACAACAGTACAACGTTGGACCCTATACTAAGCCGGTTCAATATAGATTACATCATGCTGGCCATTTTAATATTATCTTTCTTATACGCTTAGATCTCCCATTTCATATCTTCCAGTCAGGTTTCTCAACTAAATTTTATATGCAATTCTCATCTCCTTCATGCATCTCGCCAAATCTTCTTGTTCTGATAATTTTTAATACACTACGTGAGTGTTCAAAGAAAAGAGTATGCAGGTACAGTAATGTATGCATCTATAAGATGTCTGCCATCTGAGTTGTAGCGGCCTGATAATGGAGGCAGCAGGGACCTCTGAAACGTTGGTAAACTTCTATCAGATTACACGACACTACAACCCAGAAGGCAGCCAACTTCGTACTCACCGCCACGAGAACCTCAAATCGATCACAGTTTATAAATCTGTTTGTACCTAGTAACATTAAAATTTTTCATGTTTCCACTTATTAAATGTTCATATTTTAAATTTAATTCACTTAATACTGTTAATAACTGAGTTATTCCATGCATATGTGTTGCGTGTCCAACGTTAAGTTTACTAAGTGTTTGCTAAACAGTGCTGGACAAAGAATTATTGCTTCAAAAATAACCTGACAGTAAGTTTGTTCTTTTGAGTCACTGCTGTCGACAGACATTCTGCTGTAAAAAGTAGCTATCTGACCTTGGTAGTGCTACAGTACCACCAACGTGAGATTCATTTATAATGTTATGCAACTCGATGTTATGCTCTTCAAAAATACAACAGGTACTTCAACCGGAACAATATACCGGAAGTTGAGACAGGAACAGGTACGAACTGCATCGGACGTAACCTTCAGCATTACGAGGATGGGCGATGTGAGAGGCCACACGGCCTATCCTGCTCGATAATGTATACATTAATTTAGGTAACGGTGTTTCCTGGCTCATGTGTTGCGACTCATTTCATATGTGGTGGACATTTTATACTATTGTATGTTTTGTGGGCATTACTATTCTCAGCAGAATATTGGTGCAGCCTTTCTGCACATAAAATACAGATCTTGTGTCTTCGGTGGAAGTAGGAGGCCATAAAACAGCCAAGGTTGGAAATATGAATCTTGGTCGGAAGGAGTTTCATGACGGGCGAGAGATGTTCGGAGTGGAATGCGACTTGAGAGCTTCTCTACACACTTAGAAGCAATGATTTTAATTTCCATTTTTTAGCACTGGTTCCCTGCAAATATATTATAAATTAAATGCGTTTACTAAATTATAAAACTACGTAAATTTCAGAGCGCTTCAGATAAATAGGAACTTCTTGAACCGGGGTCAAAATCAGAAATACTGTATCCACTGAGAATCCTGCATAAGGTATTTTCTTAAATTGTGCGTGTAAATAATTATTAGAAATTTTTGACTCCTTAAATTTTTAATTTGCCGTATGCTACGTTATATTAAGGTTCTGTAAACTTCTTCGCATCAGTGTATTGATAATGATACCTATATGCT